TTTGGCCTGTCTTATCATCTCCTTCTTGGCCTCCTTCTCTTTTCTCTCTCTAAGTACAGCGGCGGCTTGCTCTTCCTTAGCCTTTGTATAAGGGGTGGTACTTTTTCCACTACGTAGGTCAACAAGGTGCACAACCAAGAATCAGTTCCACTCCTCAGCACTTAGACTCACACCCCTAATTGACTTCACTTAGGACTGACTCTATTAAGGACCAACAAATCTCAATAAGATCCTGTCAACTAGGATCTCTAGCCTAGACCTAAACTAAGGCTGTCACTACAGAACTTACTGCTGATCAAAGGAGATCCCCCGTAACTCCTCAGGAATTATTTAACGTCGCAAACAGGACGACGTGATCAGCAAGTCCTCTCAAGACTTAGACAGCTTGTTGTGCAGCCCACAACTCGGATTTTGGGCCTATTGTGCCACACTGAGCAGCCCGCCGGTCTGTACCGGTCCTTGGGAGGGTTCGTGTCCTCCGGGTCGGTCAAGTCGTCAAACACAACCTTTAGCCCTACTCAGCCCGTGTGGGTTTGGTCAACAAAGCTCTATGACCTCATACACAGAGTCCTATTACCAGGACAGAAGAGACTCAATGCAGAAAGACGAGACAGACAGACTCAACAAGTACTATGGGGTGAGTGCACATCCATACGGCGAGGGGATAGGCTGAAGGCTTGGCGAGAATATACCAACTCTAGCTTGGTCAATTTCGTGGTCAGCAGCCCTGGTCAACGAAGGTCAATGATGGTCAACGCTTGGTCAACTCGTCGATCAACGACTTCGTCAATGCCAGTCAACCCGCCGGTCAACTCTCTGGTCAAAGTCTTGGTCAACGTTGGTCAACCCTTCGGTCAACACCTCGATCAACCCTTGATTCGGCTATGGCTGCCGATCCCTTTCTTCCTCACCAATCCTCCTTATCCACCTCCTTCCTTCCTTCTTTCTCCTTTTTCTCGCTCCACCCCGGCTATGGCTTCCTTCACTTTCGTTGTCCCTCCTTCCTTCTCCCTCGCTATACTTTTTCTCCTTCGTCTCTCCTTCCTTCTCCTTCGCTTCACCTTCCTCTTTCTTGGTTACCCTGTGTTCGAGCTCTGCGGCTATGGCTGCTTTCTCCCTTGGTCCCCACAACAATCTTGTATCGCTCCTCTCTCTCTTTCTCTCTCTCTCTCTCTCTCTCTCTCTCTCTCTCTCTCTCTCTCTCTCTCTCTCTCTCTCTCTC